GCCCTGAATTTATGTTTTCATGCAATGAAAAGAATACTTTAGGCCATTAAAGAAATGAGTGAAAGAACAACTTCCAGAAAATTTTGAAAATAGGAGGAAAAAATTACATTTCTGCTCTTACTTTCACAGAACGGAATTTAAAGAGTTTCCCTTTAATTTCTTTTTACATCCCTCACTTTATTTATTTTATTGTGGTTTGTACAATCGTTATTGTTATTGTTCCCTTCGAAATTCTCTATCCATTCTTTGTGTGAAGGATTTCTAAGTATAGTAAAAATCCAACTCACAAGAAGTGACTGGATGACGAATAGGCATTGGATCGGTACCATTACGAACCCATACGATAGCATCGTTGATTGGCACACCAGTGACAGCATCGGTTATTAGACCTTTGATTCCAGCATGGGACTAAATTTTTCATTTTGTCAATGTGGTGCAGTGGGTTGCTTTATAGAAACTTGAAGAATAAATATGTGGATAAAAGCTGGAAGCTTTAAAAGGAAAATAATCATCAAATTTTACGCAACAAATGACTGTCTTTTGTAAATAGCTAATTGTCAAAAATCTATGTATTGAACCACAAAAAATAAAATATAAATATGGAACATTTCTTATGCAATGAAATTCTTTTAGGGGCTAGTTAATGACATTTGCGTGATAGGCAGCTGATTATCTACGATGATAGCATAGGATAATATTGAAGGCTTATATACCAAAATTATCTAGAAGAATACGCAATAAGCTTTATAACATATTCCTTGACCTCTGTTCCATTTCTAATTACTCATTCGCGATTATTTGTTTTTATTCTTTAGCCCACATCAGTTTCTAAATTGCTCAATTTCTCAGACAGGTGTAAAACAACTTCTTTCAAAAAGCTAAACATGAGAAACCACTAGTCAATATGCGACCTTCTTGTTTTCTTTGTTCTTCAAGAACAGGCAAAACAAAAGTTTTTATTGGCTTAGTGGAGGAATCGGCGAAGGTTTTTAGAGTAGCTTTCAATTTTGCGAGTTATCCAAGTTACTTAAAGATGGAACGGATCAAGTTCTTTT